TATTTTATTTTTCCCTAGAATGTCAAAGAGCCCCAAATGCAAAATGGTGGCTCTGGGAATTAATTCTGAGGCACGCCACAGATCAGCAGCCCAAGTGTTGAACAGGAACCACCCAGCACCATTTTCTGAGTTCTCTCCTCCAAGAAGGGCTGGAGCCACCGTAAAACAGTGACCTTAAGTCCCATTCCAGAGAGACGGGTCAGGAGAATACTATGGTTGATAGTATCAAAAGCTGCTGAGAGATCTAGCAGGGTTACACACACCCTAACCAGTTCCTGGCATAGGTCATTCTCCAAAGGTGATCAAAGTAGTGTCCATCCCATAACCAGGTCTGAAGTCAGATTGAAATTGATCTAGATAATCTGCCTCATCCAGAAACCTCTGGAGCTGAGAGGTCGCAACCCATTCTAGCACCTTGCCCAAGAATGGAATATTAGATACTGGTTTGTAATTGTTCAATATTGTGGGATCCAAGGAGGGCTTTTTAAACAATGGCCTTACTATTGCCTCCTTTAAGCATGACAGGATCCTACCCCTGTTGCAAGGAGCCATTCCCCACCTCCCACCTACTCGACCAGTCCCTTTCCTGCAACTTTTATGAGCCAAGGAGAGCAAGGATCCGGCCGATTATGTGGTAGCTTCTCTACGGGTCCTGTCCACATCATCAGGCTGCAGAAACTGAAACTCATCCATTAACACAGGGCAAGCAGGGGGCAACGTTACATTAACAGGACCTGTATCTTCTATAACATCCAAGTCAGAGTGGATTTGAGCAATTTTGGTGGCAAAGTATTGTGCTTCCATAAGTTCCATTGATTCTAGTTACAGTTTAACTAGAATCAATGGAACTGGTCTAGCTACAACTTAAAAAGCTGAACAATAGGATTTCAGCCCTTTATTCATGGGGTCTCTGTGAAGTCAGAAGTGACCTGATAGACCAACACCTCTCTGTCTGTGCTCCAAGCTGGACAGCTCCCACAATCACCTGAACTGCCTTATCATTGACTCGTGCAACTACTTCTGGTAAAGCAGGATTTCATTAGGAAGCAGGTTCCATGCTTTCTTTGTGTGCACCTTCGTGTCTTTTTCCCCACATCTTTTTCTCAGTTGCAGTTGACAAGGAGAAATGAATCCAGAGGGAAAACATTGCATATGGTACAGTTATACAGAGTTCTCTGACAGAAATTCTTCGAAATGGGACAGTAGTCTGGAAGCCTCAGGGATGCTCAACAGCAGAATGGGGGAAATGCCTTCTAGGTCCTACCAATCCTTAGTTCATGAAGAGAGTACAGAAACTGTACCTGTGTAATCTTTTTATCTGCCAATGGCTTGACTTGCATAATTTTCTTTTTAAAATCTAATGTTCCACATTTAATTTTGGGGGCAATTAATGCAGAATGGATTAAGGTGATCAATAGAAAATGCTACTAAGATAAATTAGTTTTTTTCCTGAAAATAATTGCAAAAATGGCAGGAGGATGGAATGTGAAATGCTGCTTAAGTCAGAAGTTATTTCTCAGATTTGAAGAGAGTTTTGAGATATCAGACAAAATCCAAAGAAACAAAACAAAACAAAAATGACAAAAACATGTGGCATCCTAGACTATTATATTTTAATGCGATTAGATGTTCTGAAAGAAAATGTTTATTGAGAGCCAACTTTGCGCATCTTCAGGGTAAAATATACAGATCGCATGTCATCGTATTTGGGATGTGGGGGCATTATCTCATATTCCGAAACAGGCAATGACATATCTTAGGTAATGATTTCTATTTCTCTTTTATATCTGTGAAACATATGTTTGTTTAGTGTGGCATTCATCAGCCTATTTCAAAGGCATGGAGTGCCCTCTTGTGGAGAAAGATTTTGCAAACTTCTCATCAGTTCAGTGTGCCCTCATTTATTAGAGAGTTTGGGCAAGTGAGGACGAGACAGATAGATGGCTCTGCACCTCTTATGAAGGGTGCTTCCTACTGTTGCTTTCACCATGTAAATACCTGCCCTGTTCAAAGAATTTTCCAAGGGTGGGGGTTAAGTGATGATATATTTCCCTTGCAATCCTCCCACACCTTTCCAGTGATTCTTCTGACTTCTTTTTGTATCTAGCTAAATTGGTGAAAGCTTAGAAAGCTTGGCTAACAACAAGGCCAGTGGAGGTGATGGCATTCCAGTTGAACTATTTAAAATCTCAAAAGATGAC